AGAAAAAAATGCCGTTTTTTAGAGGCATATATGACTTATTATCAAGGTGTGGCTGTTACGAAATTGTGTTTTTATGTGGCCGACCTTATGTTGGTGAGACCTGTAGATCTATTCACCAAAGATAAGTGGATAACAAAAACACGTATGAAGGTGACTGGTCAGAAGTGGCTGGGCACAAGCCAGAGACTGGACACGAGGTAGAATGGTCTCATACGAAGTGAATTGATGATTATGGTATGTCTGCCTCGAGACGCAAGATTTGAGAGGCTATTTAAATTAATAGATTAGGGCAGTGATTCTCAAACTGAGCGCCGCAAATTGATAAATGTGCAGTGATTTGCAGGCTCATCTATCGCATTAATTATTAAATATTAATTTAATGTTAATAAAGTAAAAAAAATAATGAAGATACCCGAGTTTTTTTAATTTTTCTCTTCAACTTACGAATACTCATACTTAGGGTAGGGCGCAAATAGAAAAATTTTAATTGAAAAAGAGCGTTGCGACTGATAAAAGTTTGGGAACCACTGCTTTAGACTAAAGTAATAATAACATCTCTTTAATGAGAAAAAACTCTTCACAATGGGACTATCTGGTCAGATATGGACAATATGAGACCATTTTCACTTCCTAACCTTGCATTAATATTTTTTTTAATTAGATAAACGAACTAATATAAAAGTAGGTTGTAAGAACAGGATTATATGAAAGGATGACAGCTGACATTTATTCATGTATTAGACAAAAATATTACTAATTATCAAGATCCGGCTGCTACAAGATTGTATGTTCCTTTAGTCTACATTAAGTTGGCGAAACTTGTCAGCCAACTCGCCAAAGAATAGAGTAGCACATAAATGCTTGCAAAGTCCTCTAAGTCGAATGGTCATAAGTGGCTCAATACAGGGCGGAGAACGGAAATGAGTTAGAATGGTAGAACACGCAGATATTTGTTCAGTATTGCAAGTCTGCTACGAAACACAAAACAAGAGAAATTATTGGAATTGATAGATTAGAGAATATGTTAAATGTGAGGAATATTGGTAGAAAGTCAAGTAAGAATTATGTAAGCTTGATTGAAAGATTGAAGAAGAGAATATTTAGCTATTGAATGTGACTATCTCAAACTGTTGTTATTTATAATAAAGTAAGTAGTTAAATGGATTGAAAATAAACAAATGTGTAATGGATGAAGATTAAAGCATGTAATGATAGCAATGTTAATTATTATATAATTCTTTAGGATAGGAAAGCAACAATTACTTCAGATTTTATACGTTTTGATATTGCATAACATACATATTATTATAAAATTTTATTTCTAATTTGTTTGTTTGTTTTTGCTAAGGTTTAATTGCTTAGATCAATAGTTAAATAGCGCGTGGTTTGTTCTCTCTCTTTGGACACTTGATTGCTCATTTTAGCTATCCTAATTATCATTAAGATGAGTAAGGTGAAACAATTGCCTACCCAGAAAGAAGCTGTTGAAAATGTTTGTGAGGGACTTTTGAGGATATATGATAGAAAGTTATTGCCTGTTGAGAAGCATTACAACTTTCACTCATTTCATTCTCCTGCTCTTGACACGGGTGATTTCAGGGCAAAACCAATGATTATGCTTTTAGGGCAATACTCTACTGGAAAAACAACTTTTATAAGATATCTTTTAGGCGAGGATTTTCCGGGGATGCATATTGGTCCAGAGCCTACCACAGATAAATTCATCGTTGTCATGAACGGAGAATCCACTATAATTCCTGGCAATGCGCTTGTGGTTGATAGTCAGAAACAATTTCGTGCATTATCAAAATTTGGGAATGCATTTCTTAATAGGTTTCAATGCTCACAATGCAAAAATTCTGTCCTTGAAAGCTTGACTATAATCGACACTCCCGGCATTTTAAGTGGAGAAAAACAGCGAATTGATCGAGGATATAGCTATGCAGACGTTGTAGAATGGTTTGCTGAGCATGTCGACAGGATTATATTACTGTTTGATGCACACAAACTAGATATTTCAGACGAGTTTCGTCGGGTTATTGAGTCTTTGCGTGGTTATGATGAAAAGATACGTATAGTATTAAATAAGGCAGATATGGTTGAATCTCAACAGCTAATGAGAGTATATGGGGCTCTTATGTGGGGCTTGGGCAAAGTTCTGGGCACACCTGAGGTTGCTCGTGTTTACATTGGGTCCTTTTGGGATCATCCACTTCACTTCGATTCTGGCAGACACCTTTTTGAGCTTGAAGAAATGGATTTATTTAAGGATTTACAGACACTGCCCTCTAATTCAGCGATGCGGAAGCTCAATGATATAATAAGACGATGTCGCCTTGTAAAGGTAAGTCACATCTATCGACTATTTCCAAAAGTGTCTCAACTTACTAAATTCTT